TGGATGCCATTAGGCTTATTCCAAAACTGGGAGAGAAAACATCAGGTGAAAAACTAGAACGTTAAAAAAAAAATCATGAACAGACGCTCTCTCATGGGATGTGCCGTATTTGTAATAAAAATGAAATTCCTCAAAAATATTTTTGGCCTACATCAATAATATTTTAAGATATTTATTAATCAATCTTGAAAATTTTTTTTAGTTATTCTTTTTCATACTATAGTAATCAATAATTCCAAATGACAAATCATATGACGGGTTCCACTGTATAACTGGACATTATACGTTGATAGCATATTGTAGGGTTAAACGATATAAAAGCATAGAATATATCTGAAATGAAATTAAAAGATAACTGAATTGGTCGAAATATCACCTTCAAGTTGCCGCAACAAAACTTATTTTTTATAAGCAGTTGACAACTGTATAAACTTCTTTCTTCATCATAAAATCTAGAGAAAAATTTTATAACTAAGTATGCTGATACATTTGACGAGAAATACCCATAGAAGGAATGCAATATATGACAATAAATCAAACCGCCTGTCATTTACGAGTTCGGGTGAGAAAACAGAACGATCATTTTAAATCTCTATACGCTGTTACGAAACAACTTTGTTTGTCGTTTATCTCTACAATCAAAAGGAGTACGATATTTTTAACTTGATTAATAAACAATATAAAAGCAGAGAATCCATGCAGCCCTCCTATTTATATCATTCTTCGTTAAAATTAACATCGAAAGCATTTAATATCACGTGATTAGCAGGGGCGGATCCAGCAATTTTTGAAAGGGGGGGTTCCAGGGTTGTGCCCCTTAACACCCCCCACCCACACACTCTCAGGCAAAGATTCACACACACGTATGGAAAGATCTAAGGTTGTGGTAAATAATAACTTTTTTTTACGTCTTTTTTTTCTTTGAAAAGGTACTGTACCCCCAGTGCGAATAAAAAAAAAACGAACACATTTCAAAAACTACTGAAGCCTTATAAATTAAATGGATTTGCAGCATTTCCGAAGAGTATAAAAAATTTTCTTCTAGAATTTGAAAAAAAAAATTGGAGGTGGGATGCGGATGGGGTGTAAACAAAGAGTTACAAGTTAGTTCCTTCAAAAGATATATGATCAAAAAACGGTACATATATTATATAACCAACACAGCCTCAGATCGCGGTAATCTAATATCAAATTAAACCTCGCATGTTACATATCATATATGTTATATAAGATAAGTAGAATATTTTCTACCATTCTCTCATAAAAAAGTAACAGTGAAGGTGAGTGAAGGAAACTAAATGTGTGAGACTCTATCTATTCAATACATAAGTTAGACGTACAAATATTTATTCTCGGAAAACGTTTTATCCCCCTCTCTCTTTCTCTCTCTCTCTCCCCACTTGGCAAAAAAATAAAGGGGGGTTCCAACCCCCGGAACCCCCCCTCTGGATCCGCCAATGATTAGTGATGAATGCCAAATCAATTCAAAAGACGTAAATGAACGTTCCAGAATTTCACCTGTACCCTACTTTAAGTAGATGCTTTTTCATTTTTAGAGATCTTAAATCACTCACTATTTATCTGAGAGAATGCTCGGGTGAAAAGGTTTAAGCTGTTTATGAATAAGTCTTAAGAAAAACTATTCGTATGACCTTTAAAGTTTAACGTTGAAAATTAGTGCAAGAGTACTAAGAATGACAATTTAGTGTAAGAGTAATTAATACTTATGTAGTATTTATTTGTCTACCCCGGTCCTAGTCCCTCCACCCCCGCGCCTTTAACTTACATATCCCACCTCATCCAAACAAGAACTTTCTCTAAGTTTTTATTTTTTTTCTTATCTGCAATATTGAAAATGTGAAATATTTCAGTCTTTTTCCTACAAATTCCCCATCTGTGTGTTTGTCTGTTACAAGACACATCATTTACATACTAGAGACCGTCTCTGAAAAAATTACAAAATGGTAGCTACTTTGAAATCTCTTCATTGTTTCCAATACGTACAACTCTTCCTGAATTCTCTAACGATTTTTCATCTTTTCCCAATCATGTCAAGGGGCACACGATGGGTGTGACGGCCTCAGGGATGCTTACTCCTCCATGGCACCCATCCCATCTCTGATGTTTTAGAGGTTCTTGCTCTGCTAGCGAGTTGTTTTGTTTGAATGTGAATACTGATCGTTATCTGAAATATTTGATGAATTTAAGACCGACTGGTCATTTAACTTTCGAACTCAGAAGCAATGGATATGTCACGAGTTTTATTAAAACGTGAAATTTGCAACAAAAAGATAATTAAGTACTAATCTATAGCATGTAACCAATGAATATGTGTGCGGCAATAATTCTTTGGAAAGATTAAGACATTTACCATTGTTCCTGAGTTTAAATTATTCGATTGGACTTTGAATTCTCTGCTTATGAACAAAAAGAATCATGACCAGAAATGATTTATCTCTTTCCAGGTGTCGCATTTTTTTTGTGTTATTGGGGTGAAAAACAAGAACGATTCAATATTTATTTTCGGACGGATGAGTAAGAGATTAGGAGTCTATAGTCACGTAGGTCTGTGTTCCACTGTAGAATTTTTTAAAGGTTCACTCAGTATTGGACTTAGCGAAACAAGTTTAATTTAAAGATCAGAATTAAAGCACTCATCATTTACTGTGTTCATTTTTTGTAGCAGTGAGATATACATTCCTATAGTAGTAAAATAAACATAGTAAATTTATACTTACAGTATAGTGAATATGAATAAAGTATAGTGAGATATGCGTATAGTAATGAGATATGCTTATGGTAGCGAGATATAATATCATATAAAAGTAACATAGAGCAATGTGATTGACAAACAACAGTTAGATATTCATGTTCATATAACAGTGATATATATACATAAAGAAGTGAGATACACATGTAAGTATTGATGTGAGATGTACAAATTATAGTTAAAAATGCATTTATCAGTAAGAATAACAAATACTTAGAAGTCTCATACAGCATTGAGATGTATACATAAGTTATAGCAGTGAGATATACATATAGCTGTGGGATATATACATAACAAAGAGATATACACATAGCTATGAGATATACATGTAGCTGTGGGATATATACATAGCAATGAGATATACATATAGCAGTGAGATATATACATAGCAATGAGATATACATATAGCAGTGAGATATACATATAGATGTGAGGTATACATATAGCTGTGAGATATACACATAGCTTTGAGATATACATATAGTTGTGAGATATACACATAGCAGTGACATATACATATAGCAGTGAGATATACATTTAGCAGTGAGATATACATATAGCAGTGAGATATATACATAGCAATGAGATATACATATAGCAGTGAGATATACATATAGATGTGAGATCTACATATAGTAGTGAGATATACACATAGCTTTGAGATATACATATAGTTGTGAGATATACATATAGCAGTGACATATACATATAGTTGTGAGATATACACATAGCAGTGACATATACATATAGCAGTGAGATATACACATAGCAGTAAGATATACATATAGCAGTGAGATATACTTATAGCAGTGAGATATATACATAGCAGTGACATATACATATAGCAGTGAGATATATACATTGCAGAGAGATATACATATTGCAGTGGGATATACATATAGCAGTGAGATATACATAATATAGCAGTGAAATATAAATATAGCAGTGAGATATACACATAGCAGTGAGATATACATATAGCAGTTAGATATATATATATAGCTGTGAGATATACACATAGCAGTGACATATACATATAGTAGTGAGATATACATATAGCAGTAAGATATACATAAGCTTTGAGATATACATATAGTGAGATATACTTATAGTAGTGAGATATACATATAGCTGTGAGATATACATATTGAGATATACATATAGTAGTGAGATATTCATATAATTAAGATATACATATAGCTGTGGGATATACATATAGTGAGATATACTTATAGTAGTGAGATATACATATAGCTGTGATACATACATACAGTAGTGAGATATACTTATAGCAGTACTAGTGAGATATACATATAGCAGTGAGATATACAAACAGTAGTGAAATATACATGTAATAGTGTGATATATAGTTATTGTACAGTTAATATACATAAACCCATATGTTATATCAATAGTACTGACATTATCCGTATATCATCTTTATTTTTACTTAAAAAAATAATTAAAAGATTTATGTTAAAAATTTTAACACTTAAAATGCAAATAAATGACACCCCCCCCCCCCAAAAAAAACCAAAAAAAAAACAAAAAAAAAACAAACAAACAAAACAAAAAACCAAAAAAAAAAACACACACACAAACTATAAGCAGTCACATATAATAAGTTCTTGTGCACCCTTTAATTCTAAATTTGTACTTTGATTGGGTTACACAACATTTTTAAAAATCAGTGCTGGGTATAATACACAGACGGACCAGGCACGTGAATTCAGTTATGTAAACTCTCTCTTTTTATGTATATACACACCTTTTTTACTCATGAAGGGTTTGCATTCCTAAGTCATTTTGTGTTCCTTAAATACATATATTTAATATTTGAAAATCCTTGGGGGTTCAGGCCCCTTTGATGTCTCTGCCTTTACCACCCCTCCCTTTCTCTCTCTCTCTCTCTCTCCGTCTGATGCAAAAAAATGATGCTACACAGCCTACACTGCATATAGACAGTTATACCTGTGTAAATATTGACAGTTAAATTATTTAGTACAGGAAATATAGTGAGAGCTCACTCCTAGCTCTCAACATGGTAACAAACATTGGCATTTATTCTATGTATGCAGGCAATTGCTAAAATTGCCCCTCCTTTCTCTGTTTATGCCCATAAATAATGAGGTTGTTATTTACCCTAAAGTAATACAATACCAGAAAATTCTGTAAAAAAAAACCTCGAAGGAGACAAAACTTCATGGTTAGTTTAATTCACCTTACAGCATATCTCGGCTTAAAGCAGGTTAAACTGATAATCTTGTTGTCATTATAGTTTTATATCTATAGTGTCATATCTTCACGCCTCGCCGTAGAACGACGCTATAGTAGATATTTAACCCCCGATCTATTTGTGCAAATACCTTGACTAATCAGCTATTTTGATTTTGTGTTTCTGAATGGACTCTTTTCCCATGTATAAATAGCCTTACCCCGTCACGTGCTCTACCCTCCCAAGACTCAGTCATATGAGCGAGGAATCATTTGGAATGTAAGACAGTCTCTTAAGAAAGGTGAGAAAATTTTTTTTTTTTCTTTCTTTCTTTTTTTTTGGGGGGGGGGGGTCATTAAATTCTCTTTAACAACTATTGAACTATTCTGCGCATCTTTTAAAGCTGATGTACTTTGTGATGGCTGTTTTATAGATAATCAGGGAGGTGGGGGCGATATCGTTAACCCAATGTAGTCCGATGTTCACTTTCATAAATTAACTTGTAATATGATAATGTATTAGTATACCTTTTGTTTTCCTACTTATTTTAAGATGTGGTTATAGTTCCGTACTTACTCTGAGCTTTATGGCTCATCAGTGCAAAACATATACATTTATAAATATATTATGCATTGTGCATAGTGCACATGTACTTAACCCTTCATTATTTGCAAGGTTCATTATCTAAATTGTATTTTAGAGGAACTGGGGTTTAATTCTACTAGTGGTAATCCAACTTATACCCAAAGCTCTCTTTCTGGAGAGGAAATTCTTCAAAATCATATGTCAGTTTTGAATATTTTTTAATATTCCTAATAACCAGAATGAATTTGAATATCCAAATCTATATTAGATTCATAAAAATCCTTACATAAAAGATATATAGTGGGTTTCAGTTAATGCTCAACCAAGACTCTTTCTTTACTCCTCACTAAGATATTAACAGTAATTAAGGAGAAACTTCATGAGTGCTGTGCAACAGTATATTCAAGAAGTGGTGCAAATCAGATGTAGATACTGAAAAATTCCATGGAACTTTTGGAAAATTTGAAGTCAGAAAATACCTAAATCAACAGCATAAAAACTTACGACTTTTCAACTTTATTTACAACTATTCCCCACGATTAATATACAACAAGGCTTTTTGATATTGGCAACTGCTTTTTCACTAAAAATGGAACTCGCAAATTTACTTACGTTTTCATTGGTAATTTCCAAAATTGTTTTGTTAAAAAACATTTTGATTGTACTCACAAGTACTCTGAAGTTCATTTTAAAAAGATGCTTGAGTTTCTAGGTCTTCCACCGATATATTGGAATTCACATAGGTACCAATCGCGCGCCGTTATTACCAGACTTATTTTTGTATTTATATGAAGCAGAATTTTTTCCAAAATCTTGTGAAAAGAAAAACAGTTGCTGTGTCCTCAACTCGACTATTAGATATATCGACTACGTGTTATCAATTAGCATTATTATTTCCATTCTTAGGTCGATACGATATATCCCAGTGAGCTTGAAATAAAAGATACCAGATTCTGACACATCTGCTTCATATTTAGATATTTTTCTTGAAAAAGGGCGTAAATGGTAACATAACAACCAATCATTATGATAAACATGATGGCTTTAACTTTTCAATCCCGTACTTCCCTTACATTTGCAGCAATTTACCTTCATCACCTGCATACGGGGTTTATATCTCTTAGTTGAGCGTCTTTTGTAAGTTCTACGGTCGATATAATGACCTTGTCAGCAACAACCAGGAGATGACCCTGAACGGTTTTTTTTTCCAGATCCTTGTGTAGTGGATCAAAGGATCTGATTTTAATCAGATTGTGTCAGCAAATACAATTTATCAATTGAAAAGTCAAATGCTGACTGAAGTTTTTTCATATTACTTGTTCGACCATTATTTACACAATGAATTGTCTACAGATTTTCCCGTTACTTCCCGATCATGACAAGGAGCACACTACAAGTGTGACCGGTCAGGAGGAAATGCTCACTACTCCATGGCACCTGATCCCACCTCTAACGTTTCGGGTCCGTGGTTGCTCTACTCGAATTTTGTATTGTTAAATGAACTTTTGAGCATGAATACTGTTCGTTATCTCCATATACATGTATTTCATTGCAAGAAGCGCGAATTAGCCTGAATCAAACTCCATGCAACTTGTTTTTAAATGTCTCAATTAAAAATTTAAATGTATCTGTAAAGACTTTACTCGAATTTTTACGAACTATTGTTTGGTGAACTTTTTACTATAGAAATAGACCAATATAAAATCCGGATGATTCTGGATAAAGAATGTCGAAACGCAAACTATAAATTTTTCAAAGTGTGTTTAAAGCAAGTTGAATGAATACCATTTTTTAGAAAGGCTACGAGCAATTTTGAAATATTTTACGCTTCAGGAGAATTGGAAGAAGAAATAAGGTTCAGATGACTACTTCGAAATGAGGTTTGGTTCTCGGGTGTCGTAACATAACTTCCGCTTGTGATTATCACGGAACACAAAAATTCAACTTTAACTCGATCTTTATAAAATCATTTTATCGTCAGTTTTACAATTGTATTTACTTTATACTTGAAACCTCAGTTCTTATATATCACCAAATTTTCGTGACATCTTAATTTCGCGAGTTAAGAGCTTGGTATTTACAAACGAGACAGAAATTCAACGAAATCTGTCTTTAAACGCGAATACATGTGTAAGTTCTTGCAAATAAAATGTGTTCAAACTTGATGCGTATATACACTGTAAATCTTCATTCATTTAAAAAAAAAATAATTATTGAGTTACTGACTTTGATATAAAAACACAGATACAAAGAGCTTGCGATACTATTATTGAAATATGAAATATCAAAAATGATTTTTTTTTTCAGTAAAGGGAATGAAATAAAGTAATATGAAGAAAATATAGTCATAAACGAACTGAAAAAAACTTCAAAGAAGACAATATAAAACGTCAATAAAGATAAAAAAAAAAACAACAACAACAATAACAATAACAAAAACCCCTAAACACTTAATATATTATACTTTCATGTAAATTAGTTGAATCTGATTGTTCGAGAAACATTTGCTAAAAAACACTATTACCCGCTGAATAATGAAGCCACGCCCTCCAGCGTAGCAACAGTGAACATTGCTTGACGACGGATGGTATTACAAAAAATAGCGATTGCGCAGAATTTATGGTTCACAGTTATATGTATTTGCATAAAACATTCAGTATAATATAATAAATATTGCATGCGCCTCGGTTGACAATGGTTTTCTTGGGGTGAAAATTTTCAATGTTACACTCAACTACATGCAATATTTATATAATGTTTCCATATCTTGTCACGAGGGAGGAAATCTTCAATGAAAACTTTTTCCAACAGTTTTCATATATTTTGTGCCATGAAGGCGATTACGTAATAGCTCCACCCCCTCCCCCTCTGCTCTTCCCAAGGGAAATAAATTATATCTCGAATTTTTTTACTTATAAATCGTCAGCAGAGCAGCGTCTGGAAATCCTAGCATTGTCTCGTAGTCTTGTGGTTTAGCCACTTGATTGAACATGTGAGAATTCCGGAAAAAAGGGCAATCACCTTCAAAACCATCATCACCGTCATCATCATCAAAGTGTGAGGATAAACCACAAAATGGCGCCAGTGGATTAACATTTGAACCCAGTGACAGTTTTATCCCTTATTTATTGTTTTAACTACAGATCTCTTTTTAATATAGGTACTCTTTGTATGCATGCAGGAATTGCGATATATATGTCAGTCATCTTACTTTTTTGGGGGTGGGGGTGAATAATCATTTCTGTGAGATATTGTCTGATATTGACCTCATTATAACAGCCTTGTCCATCTTCCTTCTCCAAGAGTTCTTTTCACCCCGATTCTAAACATCAAAATGACAAAGAACCAGCGGACGATATGGAATCTGTACACCCGTCGACTTCAACTGATTTCCATCTGAATCAAGCAGTTAAAAAGATCAATTTATTCGATCGAAAGAAACATGTTTTCTCCGTATCTAGGTTTGTGAAGTCTTGGCGATCTGTAAACACATGAATTAGTCAAAGCCTTGCGTGACTGGGGTACAAATAGCGCAATATCACTGTTTGGTCACTTCGTCAACAACTGTACATGAGATTTTTAATTGATTTTTGAAACCTCTTGATTGAATTCTCTCCAAGCTAGCCTTGGTCAATATTAGGGTATTTGAACAATAGAGGAGAAAGCTTTGCCGATTTGCAAGTTTCATTTGGTTGACTTTCCCTACATTGCTGGTCGTAAATTATAGAAGGGTCAAGTGATAATACAATTTAAATGGGTCACATATGCAGGAAACTTAATCGAAGATCCTTGTTCTTTACATAATTCACAACATCTGATCTAAACAGGACGTGTTTAGTGACGGACAGAACGATCAAGGTATGTCCTAATCGGCTGGTCACTTACTAGACTATTTCTCCTAAATAATCAGATAAAATAATAATTTGTATACAAAAGTAAAGCCTTGAAATCTTTGATGTGAATGTAGCTCTAGTGAGCATTAGAACAATTTCTAAAACCCTCTGAATTATAGCATGCAATGTTTTAGCACTTTATCGAACGCAACATTTATGTTGTGTTAAGTAATTCGTTACAATTAACTTCTTCCAAAGTGCCATTGTTTTCAAGTAAAAAAATCGACAAAATCAGTAAAATCTTCCGAATTTTATTGGAACGTTTGATTTCCCATTTGAACTAGTTTTTATGCAATTATGTATAATTCAGGTAAATTCTGACCAAAGTGTTCTTTGATTTTTAGTCGTATTTCATAGGCAACAAATTATTGCTACGGTTAGGCTGTCTTAAAAAATGTTTGTTTGCCCTCTTACGACAGAATGATAAAAATGTAGCCCAACTAAAAAACTTTTTTCCTCAGAAATTTCTTGAAAAAAAAAATGACAGAATAATCTGTTCAAAAGTTAAGGGCAATATCTAAATATAAATATGTCAAACTCTTGTTAATGTTAAAAGGTAAAAATATTTTACATATGTAGAAAGGTTTTGTCACAATGAATACAAAGCCGAAGTTTGAAAGCCGCAGTACCCATTGTTCAAAAGTTATGGCCAACTGGCAAGGTTAAAAAGGAATTTTCAAACACGAATGTCAGCTTTAACCAATCAAAGGATATGGGCAAGGTAAAAATTTTTGCGAACAAATAGCTAGACAGAAAGACAGCTAAACCTTAGGGGCATGGCTAAACGGACAGACATGGCAAGAACTATATCACCGAATCTTTT